CCCACCCCCTCTCCTCCCCGACCCCCAACCCCCCTTCACCCACCCCCACCCTACATCCCTTTTCACCCGGCCCTCTCCTCCTTCACTCCCCAGGCTCGCCTCAACCAAGACGTGGACGAGACGCAGACGGGCATGAAGAAACTGGCGGAGGCGGTGCACGTGGTGAAGAGCTTCCTGTCAGACAAGATCAAGGACGAGAAGAAAACGAGGGTGCAGGAGGACACACTCCTGAAGAGGGACGTGGAGCGACTCAACACCAAGTACTCAGAACTCAACGATAAGATCAGGAATAGCGCTTAAGGTGTCCGAGCGAGGGGACCTTTTAAGAGTATCATTTGTCTGTCTGTTTTGCGATTTACTAAGGAGCTGGTTTTTAATTTTCGTTTTGTGTTTGATTGTTGATTGATTCAGTCATTTGATTGTTATATATGTGTGTTTATTCATGTGTTTATGTCATTCTCTCCGTTGGATTTACTAATGTATATATTTATTTATGTTTCTTTTTCTTCTTTATGGTGCATCGAATCATTTATCAAATTTTACCGAGAATATATTTATTTCATTTTTCTTTGTTTCGACTTAATTGTGTTTACTATTGCTACGCGGGCTACTTTTATGTCTTCTTGTTGCTACTTCGATTATAGATCAAGCGACTACCACCACGATTCTTTGTATTCATTTCAGTCCGTGTAGGATTTTGTTCGTGTTATTGTGAAGTCACTTATACTTTTGTCCCTGTTATATAGGTATAGATTAAGTGTACTGTTAAAAAAGCAACATATATATATATCATTTATAGAGAAAATATATAAAAAAGTATTAGAGTATTTTACATAGGTCATTACTGTCTAATTTTGTTATTCATGCCATCAGCTGATTTCTTCACAATAATATTAGGTTCATTATCAATGGAACTCGGGTACGTCTTTCGATCTTAAAGCCGTTCCTTGAGTTATATATAGTGTTTGAATAATTAGGTATGATAATAGTCGACATTATTTTCAATCACAAAGAATAAATTTTGCAGTTTATTGCATTTTATAAAGTATTTACTTGATAAAGTATAAAGACAGAAAAAGTATAGAGAAAAAATCCTGGTTTCGAATGTGTGTTTTGTGTGTTATTGATTTTGATTAGCCATTTAAACTGAACTGAATAGCTAAATTTACTGATAGTTAGATGTGTGTGAAAATATATGCATAATTATGTTAAAAAGAAGCTAAATCCACGATTATGTACTGTATATAAATACACATGCACATGCACTCACACACATACATGCATATATATTTGTTTATATATATTTATGTATAAAGTTACACATAAAACAAAAAAACATAAAATGCCAATATTTATTAGAAAATAACAGGAAAATAAAACATATATCCAAGACAAGAATCTGTGATAGTCCACGTTCAACGCACAACAGATATAGAAAACGGGTGACGCTTTTTTCTGCTGGCTACGAAAGAAGCTGATTACCTGCCATGTATATTCTTGATAACTTGTATTCCTGCTGGTGGCAAGCTGTGCTCGTTTTCTTTGTATTTACCATCGTTTGTGTACTTTGTTTTGATTACTTTTACGAAACATAAACGTGAAGTGATGTCAGTATGTGATTAGCTGCTCGAATAAAGATCTGAAGAGGAAATGCTCTGTCTCAGGACCTTAATTAATACTGGCCATAGCAATTTGCGGCTTCACGCGTATAAGCACACACACACACACACACACACACACACACACACACACACACACACACACACACACACACACACACACACACACACACACACACACACACACACACACACACACACACACACACACACACACACACACACATATATATATTTTTTTTTATTTATTATTATTTTTTATTTACCTTTTTCTTCCTTTTGTGGTCTATATTTAGCTTACTTTAGAAGACACTGGCTTCACGCGTATACACACACGCAAACAAGTGCGGGGATACGTATATATATAATTTCTTTAAACTTATTTTTTCATTTATTTTTCTTAGCTAGCATTGGACACAAAAGTAATCACACGATAAAGACAGCCAGAGCGGAAACATAAGACATGAAGATAATTTTTTTTCCGATTTCATTGATTGGTTATTTAAGATTATCTGCCTCTATCATTATTATTTTTTTGTTATCATCATTACCATTACCATTATTATTATTATTATCATTATTATTATTATTATTATTATTATTATTATTATTATTATCATTATTATTATTATTATTATTATTATTATTATTGTTATTATTATTATCATTATTATTATTGTTATTATTACTGTTATTATTACTATTATTATTACTATTTTTACTTTTAACACAAAGCATTTGATCTTTGCTTTGGAATAGTCACTGTGAATGCGAGCACCAACCAGCTGCCAAAGAACTCACAGGTAAATTATTTATACAAATGTCTGGCTGTTCCTATTGCCGAGTTCTATGCTGGTAGGCGGGCCATAACAAAGGACCAAGGGCTACCAGCATCGTATCTAAGTAAGACAGATCCAACATTTGCAAATCCGTGCGTGTGTGTATGCATTGATTGGTTATTTAAGATTATCTGTCTCTATCATTATTATTTTTTTGTTATCATCATTACCATTACCATTATTATTATCACTGTTATTATTATTATTATTATTATTATTATTATTATTATTATTATTATTGTTACTGTTATTATTACTGTTATTATTACTGTTATTATTACTGTTATTATTACTGTTATTATTACTATTATTATTATTACTATTATTATTATTACTATTATTATTATTACTATTATTATTATTATTATTATTATTATTATTATTATTATTATTATTATTATTATTATTATTATTACTATTTTCATTATTATTACTATTATTATTATTATTATTATTATCATTATTATCATTATTATCATTATTATCATTATTATCATTATTATCATTATTATCATTATTATCATTATTATCATTTATCATTATTATCATTATTATCATTATTATCATTATTATTATTATTATTATTATTATTATTATTATTATTATTATTATTACTATTATCATTATCATTATTATTATTATTATTATTATCATTATTAGTATTATTATATTATTATTATTATCATTATTATTATCATTATTATTATTATTATTATTATTATTATTATTATTGTTGTTATTACTATTGTTATTATTGTTTTTATTATCATTATCATTATTATTATTATTATCATTGTTATTATTATTATAATCATAATCATTATTACTGTTGTTGTCATTAATATCCTTATAACCATTATCAATAATATTAGTATAACTAATATTGTTGATATTGTTGTTGTTAATGATACTATTATTATATTTGTTATTACAATTATCATTTTTTTATAGACAAACACACAGAAGTAGGGTTTACAGGATAATAAAATATGGTAAAAAAAGCTGGCCATTTTTGTACGTTCATCTCCGAAACACAGTAAACCCGCGGCCACACTATAAGCTTGAGCAAAAGTTTTCAAATCGCTTTCAACCGATTAGAGTTGCCAGCACAGGAGACAGTCGACACACAATACAATACATGCAATGTAATGCAAGGAATATGCATATGCAATATAACACAGCACGACACAGTATGCAGTATACGTTACATTTAGAGTACAGTACACCACAAGATAATACATATTACATAAAACACTCGATATACAGCTAGACGATCATACAAAAAAAATATCAAAGACATAATATCAATGACAAAAAAACTCTGATGATTCCCAAAACTTCTCACAATGTTTGGTATGTGATTGCAGGTTCAATGATGATATATCGTAAAATATGAATAATTTGCAATTGCATTTCATGAACGTTAATGATATACTGTAGTGCAAGAATAAGATCGTAATACTAATAGGTATATATCTTGTAAGAAACACTCGGATATTAGAAGTGTAGAGAACCTAATAACGTATCTTGTGAATCATCTTAGTGATGGGGAAAACAGTCCTGGTAATAATGCAAAGAGGAAGATTGTGTCTAATAATGGAAATGGCATATTGAATAACGAAGGTAATATGACAAAAATATCAAAGCTTACGAAATATTGGTATTCGTTATCATATGTATATATATTCATTTATTGATTTATTTGTTTGTTCATTTATTTATTCATTTATTCACACACATTAGCTTTGATAGCCTTGAAAGAGAGATTTGTGAAGTGAAGATTAAGAAATCTTTCTTCTTGTTCATTCGTCCATTCCTTCATTGTCAAGAGTCAGGTACCATTTTGCAAAGTTGATTTGAAGATGATGAAGATGCGAGTTATAAGTTTTGTATCTTATATTTCCCATGATAATTGGTAAGGGTTATCAAATAAGATATGTTGACACGAAATGGAAAAAAATGGAAAAAAAAATCAAGTTTGAAGAATCAATAAATGTCAGGCAGATTGAATTTGTCAGACATTCCTCTATTCACTGTATGGTCGCGATTTTCCTCAGCCCGGCTTCCTCTAGCTCAGCCACCTCATCTCTTTCATTTCCCTCAATCATTTCTTCTATCACATCCTCCTCCCTTTCCTCCATCTCCTTCGCCCCTTCCTCGATCTCTGGAGCAATCATCTTCCTCTTCCTCCCACTTTCTTCTACGTTCCAGATTTTCATTCCTCTTTTCCCCGTTTCCACGTCCCCTTTCTCCTCCCCTTTCTCTTTCCTCCCCTTCTCCTCCCTCGCCTTCCTGATGAAGGTCGTCGTGAAGGTCGTCTGGACCTTGAATACGTCCAAGGTCATCCTCGACAGCTGGTTATGGAGCCTCGTCCAGCTGGTGTTCGTCTCGACCGTAGCCACCATGTCCACGTCCCTCACGAGCCCCCGACAGCGACTGGTCAGACGCTCGTAGGCCAGCGTGAGGAAGGCAGCGACGGCCAGGACGATGAGGGCGAGGAAGGCAGTCATGAGGTTGTTGAGGGTGAAGGCCTGGAGGCTCTTCTGGGCGTCGCAGCTGCTGGGTCGAGGGCGCCACCGCCGCCAGTGCCGTTGGAAGATCCCTGTGTCCCGCAGACGCATCAGACTGCAAGGCGAACGGGAGGGAAAGGAAGGAAGGAAGGAAGGAAGATAATGAGGTTGTAAACTGAAGGAAAGATGGTTTTGCATGGAGATTTGGGCACTGTTTGTCTGTGGAAGATCCTGGAATTATTGTTAATCGAGAGTTTCTAACTGACTGCAAATGGTGGAAGTTGAAATTGTAAAAAAAAAAAAAAACTGGGAATTTACTTATACGGAGGACT